GACATTACATTATCAGTAGTGGTTCAGATTTGTTGTAAAATGTCGCACTTGGTGATCACCTTGAAATACTGGTGATATAGATAAAGTTGTAATAACAAGTATGAGTGTGCGTAAAAAAAAATTTTACTCCTTGTAATCATGTATTTCACTGTACATAATTTCAATTTATTTATTCACGTTGAAGTGGTTTCTTTTTTCCATATTTTATTCTGTAAATTAATATATATAAAATACTTTATCTTGCATGTGCAACTAAGCTTGTCTTCAAATACCTTGTTCTTATTAAATATTTAAATATTGCTTAATGTATAAATAAACTAATTATTAATTAAATAGAGTCTGTATTCTTCTTATTATACTTTATATCATCAACTTTAAAGAATGATTTGTATTTTAACAGTACCGAACAAGCTTTAGACCAATTTGCTATGAAGAAATTGTATGATGATAAATTCTCCCAAAGAATGCACCCCTCACAAATGAGGTAAGTTGAATCATCTCTAATAAAAAAAAAACACCTTTTGTGGTTGAGAGAGGATTTGGGGGAATTTGGTATGGTTTATAAAAAAATCTATTCTTAAGGTATCAACTGTTGAAAATTTTAAATAAATTATGCTAAACATCACAGCTTTATTACAAATAATGATTATTATAAATTAATGTGTTGTATGAAGAGTAGAAAATTATTCCAACCTATAATCTCAGAATATAATATCTATCTATCTATTGCATTAATGTTAACTTCTGATCAAAGCAAGCTTCTGTTCAGATTAAAACTAAAAATCAAACTTTATTATGTTCCTACTTGGAAAGATTAATATGCATTGTTTAATCAGTTGGGTACCATCCATGTTAACAATATATGTTCAGCTGTAAACCCAATAATATCTCACGATGTTTGGTCAACTTAGTCCTAAATTCACTGACCAAGCTAATAATGCTAAACAATATTTTATTGTATATGTATATATATATATATCAAAGAAAAAATTTTACTCCCTAAATGCTACAAAAGCTTATTAATGTTATGAATATGTGAACTTGAAAATGTAAGGTTTATCAAAATAATTGGATGTTATGTTATATTGTAATGTTGGGTTGATCTCTCACTCTCTCTCTCTCTATATATATATATGTGTGTGTGTGTATATATTTAGTATTTTGATAATTAGATTTTTTAGGTAAACATCGGATGACCAACATTCTTTCAAAGTGATATTTCTCTCAAAGTCAATTATTTTCCATTATCATGTTTGTTAGAACATACTTCAATTTGGTTGTGATTGGTCAAATTACAAGGTTCATAATACCTTTAGTGGATTTTTTTTACATTCCTTAATGTTTCTGTATGCAGACAATATCCTTCCCTCATACGAATAAATACATTAGTTTGATTCTAAATTGTTTACTCTTCCTATAGATAATTACCCTCTTAAACTTTATTGAAACAAAATTCACACATCATTAATGGCTTTCTAGGTATGTTCAAAACTTTTCACGACTGTTAACTTCAGCGATTCAAGCAAACAAGGCTGTATTCTATCTTAACCACATTGTAATACATGGGACCCCTAATTTCGAATCAAAAGGTGAGTCATCATTAATAAGATGTTAATTAACATCAAATGGTTTAAATAATTAAGAAGAAGAAATATAAAAAATATTAAATCATTTGAATAAGGAAATGGTAATTAATTTCCTATGATATTTCCAATTTAAAAAAAAATATATATATATTTGTTTTTGTATTTTTTAATTGCATTGAGAAAATAACTAAATACATAAAGTGTTGTTGTTAATCTTAATAAATTAATTTAATATTGTTATGTTTATTACGTGTGTTATAAATTATAGCTCAACAGTTTCTACTTTACGACAATCTTCCAGTTAATTTTAACACCATAGGATAGTGGGCCACTCTTAACAAAAAACGTAATTCATTATTCCTTACCAAAGAATTGGTAACAAAAGGATTCCGAGCCTTACAAACTTGAGAGCCCTTGTGTAATTTAAGTCATAGTTAAAATAGATTTAGTGGTTCAACTCCAACCTAGTTTCAATTTACAGAGATTTATTTCATATAATTATAACAGTTATCTTGTTCGTTCAAAACTAAATTCAAAACTTTAACTAGCAGATCTAAAGTTGTTCATGAAAAAGAAATACATCGGGTAAATAACAGCTTTATTTTGTTTTCAGTGTAGTTTGAAGCTATAGCTGTTTGTTTGATGTAAATATTAAACAGTAGATCTTTAGTGTGAAACATCATGAAAACTTGTTTGTTGAAAAACACAGCAATATTTTTATTATGTGTGTAGGCTATCGACCATTTGTCAAGATTTATCAAGGAATGAAGCCAGTTTATACATCTGATGTGTAGTAAGTCTTATTTATTATGTTTATTCAAAGAGTAAAACTTTGAATAGATTTTCTTTGAGAAAATT